GAGGAGAAGGAGAAGAAGAAGAAGAAGGAGAAGAAGAAAGAGGATGAAGAGGAAGAGGAAAAAAGGAGGAAGAGGAAAAAGAAGAGGAGGAAGAAGAAAGGAGGAGAAGACAAAGGAGAAGGAGGAGGAGGAGAATGAAGAGGAAGACGAAAAAGAAGAGGAGGAAGAGGATAAAGAAGAAAGAAGGAGGAGAAGAAGACAAGAAGGAGGAGGAAGAGAAGAAATGAATAAAATCTCTTGACAGTGAGAGGAAGATGCACTTATTTACTGACCAAGGTTATTCCAAATTTAGCCTGCTTTTCTTAGAGATATACAGCATTATTAGCACTTAAGTGGGTATCAGGTACCACTGAGTTTAAAAAAAAAACCTGAATACTTAGCTTGAATATCATTGAATTCACCTTTCCTTAAACCTACCTGGCCATGGAATCTCTCTTTGACCTCTTTTCTTACTGAAATGTTTTCCATGAGACATTCCTATCACCCTCTTTGACAAAACCATGTTCAAGCTCTGAACGAGGCACAAATTCTCTTCCTTCTCTGTTCTTTGCCCTTGTGGTGTGCACCAGGGGTGAAGGTCACTGGGGTTTTATGGGGTTTTAGCTCCCACTGTTTACTGTCTGATGCTTGTTCAGCATTTTAATTTCTAGAGGTAGAAATAGATCTTAGTCCACATGGATAGCGGAGGGCTTAAGCACACGGGAAGTATTTGGAGGGAGTCCTTAATCAGAGCTTGTCTAGTGAAGATTGACTGTGCCATTCCTGAGCCACAGTGAGGTCCTGATCTGGTCCCCAGGGCATTTATTAGTGACACAAGACAGAGAGAGCTGGATGTCAGTAAGATGATACCCCCAAGTGAGGCATATTTGGCTAAGACATAGCTGTTTGCTTCAACCATCGTTCCCTCTAGCAGCACAACACACGAGTGAGGTGGAGGGGAGGAGACAGTATACATGTGAACAAACACACACACACACACACACACACACACACACACACACACACACACCCCTCAGCTACCTTGACTCTTCATCACCTCTGCTTTCCCCCTCTAGGCTTGACATAAATAGACAAGGAGTGAAGAAGCTCTGAATTCTGAGGAGCCAGGATAACACCCCCTTCCCCCAGTGCTCCCAGTTCTCCAGCAGCTTACAGCTTAAACTGATGCACTCCACCTTAGTCATCCCTTGCTTGACCCCTCGGGAAGGTGCAAGTACCACCATTTTATAGTTTAGGAGTCTAGTTTAGGGAATAACATTCCTGTGACTGAAGTCATAGGAGAATGAAATAGGTCAAACTATACCTGGAACCAAGGTCTCCTGAGTCCAGAGTTAGAGCATGTACTGAAGATACTTTTTCTATTAGATCCTCAGCCCAGTGTCATTTCAATAGCCTCAGCTCAGAAGAGTGGACAAGCCACCCGTAGGGAGGAGCCACTGAATAAGGCTGAGGAGGTCCTCTTTCTAAGTGCACACTAGACCCTTCACGAAAGAAGCACCCCTCAACGCTCCTTTCCTGCTTTTCTCTCTGCTTCCTTCTTCCCTCTTCCCCCTGAACCCCAACTGTTACCCATATATTGTGCTCAGTTCAACTCTTCAGTCCAGCTCCCCTAGTCCAAAGGGAAAACCACAGTGTGGATGATTGCTGTCTCTGTGATGCCTCTCTTTCTTACTGCCACCCAATCCTTGGGAACACCCAAGGAGTTCCGGTCTTCACTTGGAGAGATCGTTACATCCTACTCACGCCCCCCCCCAAGACCTCCACTTGTTACTCCCCTCCCCACTGCCCTCTTCATAGATGCCCACCTGCAGACCATTCTGTACCTGACCTCAAGGTCACCCAACTCCTTTAGGTATCAAAAAAGAATTGACATAGCAGAAAGAATTAGGAAGCAGCCTGAATTTCTGTCATTGTACTATCCCCATTGAAAGATCTGGCTCGTGGAAGGTCAGAGTAGGGGCTAGAAGATACGGGAAGTAGTTTTAGAAAGGGGACCGTAACTTTTCCTACCTGTGTGCCTGCAGCTCAGAGATCTTGCCTCGTTCTAGCCGAGTAGCCTCACTCTCATCGTCCTTTAAGCTCTGGTGGCTTTGAGCCCCCAGCTCAAAGTCCCACCTCCTTGCTTCCACCCCACTCCACCTTCAAGAGGCCTGGGCTTCGGGAAGAGCATTGTTTACTGCTCTGTTGGTACAACACTTTCTCTTAGGCTGGGAGGCTCAAATTTCCCCTGAAGATCTGACAGGTGCCACCTTTCAATCACGCTGTGTCCCTCTCACTGACTGGCCTTAACAACATCTTTCCTGCGATCACCTTCCTTCCTGAAGTGCCCTGGCCATGGAGACCTTGACAAGCTACAGTCAGTCAGGGACCCATTTGGAATGTGGTCTCCAGTAGACCTCCCTTAGCTCCTTGCTTCCAGCTGTCGTCTAATTTCCTCCTTTACTCCTCTCTAGACAAAGTAGCTGCGGAGGGGTGGGCTCAGAAGGTGGTAAATGGAGCAGCTGCCAACTGTCGGCTCACACTGGACCAAGAAGCTTGAAAGGGGAGGGGCCAAGAGAAAAGAGAAATGGAAAGAGCCAATGAGACTGGACTTTAAGCATGTACACCATACATAACTCATTGCTTCTGCTTTGAGCTCTATTGACTGGAGCGTGATCACTCTGAATATTCTCTCTCTCTCTCTCTCTCTCTCTCTCTCTCTCTCTCTCTCTCTCTCTCTCTCTCTCTCTCTCTCTCTCTCTGTGTGTGTGTGTGTAAAATTAAGATTTTGCAACCAAAGCAAAGCAAATCCTTCTCCTGGCCGTTCGTCATACAACTTAAGGAGGGTACCATTTGGAGAGTGTGGGCGGTGACACTCCTCCCATTTATGAAGCGTGTGACTCCTCCAATTCCCCTCCTCCAGCCCCTTTCACTCAGCCATACTGGCTTGCTTCCTGTGCCGTAAATAAATCTAATCAGTGCTTTCCAGACTCAGGACTGGGTTTTTCCTTCTGCTCTTTGTGAGGCTAGCTCCTTCTCATTATTCTGAATCCAGCTCAAATTTCTTTCTCTAATGGAGATTCTCTATTGTTAATCTCTCTTCATCAATACTGCCTGCTCATGTACTGTATAATAGTTACCGGAATAAAAAAGTGCATTCTTGATGTTAGGTAGTGGTGGCACATGCCTTTAATCCCAGCACTTGAGAACAGATGTAGGCAGATTTCTGTGAGTTCTAGGATGGCCAAGGCTATACAGAGAAACCCTGTCTTGAAAAACAACAGCAACTCATTGCATTCTTGGGGTTAGAGAGATGGTTCAGTGGTTAAGAGCATGGCACTTACTGTCTTTATGGAATACTCAGTTCCCACCACTTACATAGTGGCTCACAGCCATCTGTAACTGCAGTTCCAGGGGATCTGACATGGAATGAACCGAAAGACAAGGTAAGCTGTTCATCCAGTAGGTTGCTCTTCTCAGGGGATGGATCACATCACAGAGAGAAGCGGTACAGGGTCTTAAGCTATTGGGAAGACTTTGGCTTTCTCCATGATTAGAAACCACTAGGGGGTGTGTGGCATGATCCAGTTGTAGTTTTTTACATCACTCTGGCTGCTGAGAGAATCAGTTGTCCTTTGACCTCCACATGTCCTTTGATCCCACCATGGGCACATGTCCTTATAAATTTAAATTTAAAAATAGTATATCAAATGAACTGTGTTGTTCAGTTATAGAGTGTTTGCTTACAACGTATGAGACCCTGAATTCAACCTTCAGCTCTGCAGAAGACAGATGAAAAAAAAATCACTATTACCTGAGAATGTGAAAATAGCACTTTGGAAAAAGACTTCATCTGCTAAAGACAATAATAGATCAAGAAAATGTGACTAAATATTAATAATTATTAAATCTCGCCGGGCGGTGGTGGCGCACGCCTTTAATCCCAGCACTTGGGAGGCAGAGGCAGGCGGATTCTGAGTTCCAGGCCAGCCTGGTCTACAGAGTGAGAGAGTGAGTTCCAGGACAGCCAGGGCTACACAGAGAAACTCTGTCTCGAAAAACAAAACAAAACAAAACAAAACAAAACAAAACAAGACAAAAAAAAATAATTACTAAATCTTGGGGTTAGATACAGTGATGTTCATTAGACTGTGTTCTCTGTGTGTTGTGAATTTGCCCTAATAAAAATACTTTTAAAAGGATAAACACAAGCTTTTTTTAAAAAAATTACATTTATTTATTATTTATTTATCGTGCGTGTGTATGGCTATAATAAAGAAGTGCAGTAAAATATGTTGCAGCGCTGGGGCAGTTGGTAGAGTAACTGTCCTACTTCCATCCCAGCACTGCAAAGTCAGGCATAATGACGCTCATCTGTAACCGCAGCACTCGTAAGGTAAAGGCAGAATTGTAAGTTCTAGGTCATCTTCTGCTACACTGCAAATTAGAGAGCAGTTTGGATTCCATGAGACCCTGTCTTAAAAGCAAACAAAGAAAATCTCTATACGTGTTTCCTTTTTCTGCGAACAGCAATCTTGTATCTTTCTCTCTGCAACCCCACCAGTTAATGCTGCACACACAGTTCGTTCATTTACTAATGTTTGGGTCCTATTCCGCGGGATTCTGACTTCACGGGTATGAGGTAACGTCTGGGCGGTGAGGTTTTTTATAAAAGTGCTTCAGGTAGTTTTAACATGCAAAACTGACAGGAATGCTCCTTAGGGAAACGTTCTCCCTTCTTCGCACAAGATCCGTCTGCGCTCAGGCTGGGCTCTCCGTGGTGGGTTCAGGGAACCAATACTCTTCCACACTCTAAACACTCATAGGTCTCCGGGACAACTGGAGGGATGGAACGCTAACAAGGCCGCCGGCGCTCTGCCATTCACTCGGCACTCTATGGTACTGTGGAGTCCACTCTAGCAAGCTGAAGTCGGTTTCTCTTCGGCCAGCCAATGGCTCCGTCTCTATGGTAGCCGGTTTCCCAGCGCAGCCTGGTCTGCGTTTTCTTCCGGATCAAAGAAGAGGCTAGACTTCCTTCCGGAAGTGACCCACGTGCTTCTTATTTCGCTTATCTTGGTACCCGGTAACTTTTTACTTTTGACCCGAAGTTGGGGACGTTGTGGGAGCTGTGACCTGCCCAGACCGTGGTGAGTGAGCCGTGGTATCTGATCCCCAGGGTGATTCTGATTATGCCATTGCAATGACAGAGGCTCAGCCTTTAGACCAGCCCCGGGAACCTAAGTTGTGGTTAGGGTCACATTCTTGGGGTTGCGTGGGTTCAGGCCCACGGTTTGGTGTGTTCTGTCCCTACTGTCGATCCTCTGGCTAGGAGTGATCTCAAGGTACTTATTTCTCGAGAAGAGGTTTCCGTTTCCAGTTCCGAGCCCCGTGGCATCTTGAGTGACCTTGAGCTGGACACTGTCCCCTTTAAGGGCCTCATTTCCACTTCTGTTAAGAGGGCTGATTACGTTTACTGACGTGGGGTACTGGTTCCTGCTGGTCTGAAACGCTGTAATTCCTCGCGCCCTCCAGCCCCTGGGTGGGTACTAGGGTGTGAACCGGGAGAGGTCGGTGGTGACTTACTATGTCCGCTCCTAGGACTAAAGACCAGGAGGCTATTCTCTCCACCGTGCTAAATTGACATGGATCCGCTCAGAGCCCAGCAGCTGGCTGCGGAGCTGGAGGTGGAGATGATGGCCGACATGTACAACAGGTAAAGAGAACCTTGGCTAGGAAAACTAGCCCTAGTCACCCCTATCACGACAGAGGACTTGTAACGAATGAGTTCCATAAGGTACTGGAGCCAAATCCCACCCTCCTGTCCCCGCCCGACCCTCACCACGTGCTTGGCTGAAGTAAATACAGGTCACTAGAAGGATTTGGTTGACTATTTAGAGGGAGTAAAAGAGGTGTGAGGGAAAAATCTTCTGCTCAGGCTCTGCTGAGCATCAAGAACAAGTAAGCACTGCCTTTTCTTTTCCTTCCTTCCTTCCTTCCTTCCTTCCTTCCTTCCTTCCTTCCTTCCTTCCTTCCTTCCTTCTCCCCAAATAGCCCATCTAATTACCTTTGTTTATGTATTTTGTGTTTGGTTATGAGTGCCAGCGTGTATGCCGTAGCAGCACACATTTGGAGGTCAGAGGACAACTTAATAGGATTCTATCCGGGATTGAACTCAAATCTTCTGGCTTGACAGCAAGTGCCTTTGCCTCCTGAGCCATCTGAACAATCATTTAGTAGTTAATAGCATTTAATAGCTAATACTAATTTTTTTCTTCCTTTTTTGGGGTGGTGGTGGGGTAGGCATTTTTGTTCTTGTTTTCCAAGATAGGGCTTCTCTGTGTTGCCCTGTTTGTCAGCTTGATTTGTGTGGACCAGGCTGGCCTCCCAGAGATCCACTTGTCTCTGTCTCCTGGATGATGGGATTAAAGGTGTGCACACCCAGCCTTCATTAAACTTTAACTCTGTGTTAGTTACTTGCAAAGCATTTTATATACATCATCACTTAGAATTTTTATTTTATTTGTTTTATATGTATGGCTGTTTTGCTTGCATGTATGTATACATGTGCATCACATGCCCACAGAGGCCACTAGAGGGCATCATATCTCCTGGAACTGGTGTCAAAGATAGTTGTGAATTGCCATGTGGGTGCTGGGAACATAACCCAGGTCCTCTGCGAGAGCAGTAAGTTCTCTTAACCACTTTCCAGGCCCCAGTATCATTTTTGTAAATACTTAAAAATAATTCAAAGAGATAATGGAGTATAATGTAGGGTGTTTGTCTAGAATGCAGGAAGCCCTTGATTTGATCTTGACATGGTGCCTGTAATTTCAACACTCAGAGGCCAGAGACTCAATAGTTCAAGGTCATCCTTGGCTATATAGTGAGTTCAAGACCAGCCTAGGATAGATGAGACCAGTCTTCAAAGAAAGGAAGGAAGGAAGAACAAAAGAAAGAAAATCAGTGGGTTAATTTTATTAGTACCATTTTAACATAGGGGAATTGAGATATCAAAGGGTTTAATAATCTCAGGGTCTGACGGGGAGTGGTGGTGCACACCTTTAATCCCAGCATTTTGGAGGCAGAGGCAGGCCGATTTCTGAGTTGGAGGCCTGCTTGGTTTACAGAGTGAGTTCCAGCATAGCCAGGGCTACACAGAGAAACCCTGTCTTGAAAAACAAAACAAAAATAATAATAATCTCAGGGTCTATAGCTGGTCAATAACAGTGTCAGGACCAGAACTTCACAACTACTACTTGTAGTAATTTGGCCAATTTGGAGCCATCCTGGTGCACCAGTCACCTGCTGAATATCTTTAATCTGAATGTCTCATAATTGGTTATCTCATCAGTGAAACTGACATAAGAAGCACTGCTTCATAAAGACATTACAATACTAAACTGAAAGCCTTTAGTACCTAGCACATCACACAGGAAATAGCAGGTATCTGCTGATTTTAGTCAACAGCTCTTGATGGGTTTGTCTTGGAGACTACAAATTAGAATAGTTTTTAAAATGAAGGCTGTGCAGTCAGACTACCTAGCTTTGTGTGATCCGTAGCAAATTACTGAGCTGTGTCTTAATTTCCTCATCTGTAAAGTGGGGATAGTGATTGTGCCTACCCCACTGGGTTACTGTGAGGGTTGCATAACAGAATCTGTATTAGCCCTTAGCACGATACCTGGCATACAGCGAGTATTCAGCAAGTGCTTCCTCTTTAACTAGTCTTATGTATGACTCAAAGAAGATTCTTAGTTGGAAGAACCTTCCAAAGTGGTTGAAGTGAAAACTGGGGGTTTCCACTGTTTGCATGAGGTTGGGAATCAGGCAAGAATCAGTACAGCAGGTTGGACTTACTGAAGGTTCCTGGGATGCTACAGGAAGTTACTGATACAACCTTGTTCTTTTCTAATCCCAGAATGACCAGTGCCTGCCACCGGAAGTGTGTGCCTCCCCACTACAAGGAGGCAGAGCTGTCCAAAGGCGAGTCTGTGTGTCTGGACCGATGTGTATCCAAGTACTTGGACATCCATGAGAGGATGGGCAAAAAGTTGACAGAGTTGTCTATGCAGGATGAGGAGCTGATGAAGAGGGTACAGCAGAGCTCTGGGCCTGCATGAGGCCCCAGGCCGTGTGCACCTGTGGTGTACCTTACTTGATTAAAGTGTCCCTAATGGATGTCACATGTGAAAACTGTCATACTTAGCCCCTTGAGCATCTTCAGGACCCCTGCGTGTGGTAGAGCTCTCCTGGCTAAGGAACTTGTCACACTGGTTTGTGACTTTGTATGTATGTATATGTATATATCTTATTAAAACAAATTTGTCCAAAGCAGTGTCTTTATTTGAGAGTAAAGAGTCAGAGCATCCAACAGAAGAGGGAATTTAATGCAGTGGGTCTTTCTGTTTGTGGGGCTGGGTTGTTTTGCTTATTTTCTTTCTTTTCTTTTCTTTTTTTAAGTACAGGATCTTACTCTGTAGACTAGACTGTCCTCAAACTCACAGAGATCCACTAGCTTCTACCTCTCAAGTGCTGGGATTAAGATGTGCACTACCATGCCCAGCAGGTTGCTTGTATCTTGAGGTGGGGTTTTATTATGCAGCCCAGTCTGGCTTCAATCTCAGTCTTCCTGTGTCAGCCTCTAAATGCTGTGATTATGGGTGTGTATCTTAACACAGTGCTTTAACACTATAGACTAGTGGGATGGATAGTATGCTAGAGTCTGATGCTTTGCTGTGTGACCTGAATGTGCTACATCTCTGTGATACAGTGGACTGACTTGGATATAGGAAGCGTTAAGTATCTTTAAAGCTTGATAGTAAGAGGAGGCAAGCAGGCCATTTTGACACATATCAAAAAGAAGCGATTTAGGGGACATGGTGACAGTGGATAGGATTTTGTGAACAAGTAACCACTCTGTTCTAGGTGTTATCTAGATAGCTATAATACTGTCAAGATGGGACGTGGGTCAACCATCTTGGAAAGTGATCTAGGCAGGGGCCTGAGTGATGACTTCACCATCTGTGTTTATCTGATTCAGATTATCCCTCAGTCACTTTTCAGTCTATGAGAGTCCACCCACCCAGACTAAAGGTCTAAGTAGGAAACAGGTTCAGAGCGGCAGCTGCTTACATGTCACACAGTATAGCAGTGGGAAGGCCAAGTCCTATTGCTGTCTGAGGAGGGCCCTTGGACTGCAGCTTTCTGGATTATTCTCAGTTATTTTTGGATTATTCTAGAAGCCACTGACAGCTGTACATTCAAAGTAGGCTTTCTCTGTATAGGTGTCTGGGACAGAGTAAAGGACAATAGAGGCAGAAACTTTGTTCAGCTTACAAGTGCAGGTTCAAATTGGTTTTGAATCTTGGCTGAGATTTCTAGCTGTGTGACCTTGGGAGAGGCATTTAACTGCTTTTGTTACCCTACCTGTTAAAATTGCAATAGGACCCATCTGTCATCTTGGGTAGTTGTGCAAACTACTAACTCAGTAGTTAGAAAGACTAGATGGACCTCTGGGCAATGGAAAAAGCATTGTTCTGTCAGGATGGGCAGAAAGTCTTTCTAAAAGCTGAAATATAAATTTAAGTCAGCAGGTGGCACTGTGTGCACATGAGTCTGAGCTTCTGAGGCCTGTGCCACAGTTACATTTGCTTGTTCTCTGCCAGCAAAGCAGCACATTGCTAGGAAGAGCCACTGTGAGGAAAAGAGAAACTGTATCTGCTTTCAGGTTTAAAAGGGACATCATGAGTATTGTCTTGATAATGCACAGCTGGAACAAACAAAGCCTGGTGGACCTAGGGAGGAGAGGTTCCAGCTCAGGGATAGCTCTTAGAGAGGCTTTGCCATGGCAGGGAAGTGTGGAGCGCTGGGAAACAGCTGCAGTGTGGCTGCAACACCAAGTGTGAAGAGAAAAGCTGAGCAATGAGCCCAGAAGCCAGGGCAGGCTCAGCTCCAGAACAGCCTAGGGAGTGGGCTGTGTTAAGCCATTTGGAGTTTCTCCCTCTAAGGGTGTCAGCAGGCTGTTACAGGATTTAAACCTTTCAGTGTCAGGGACAGGTCTGCTTTTCAGAGGCTTGCTCTCTTAGCCAGACAGACCGTGTTAGATGGCAGTAGATAAAATGGACCAAGGAGGGGCATGGTGCAGACCGTGAGGAGAGAAAGGGCTGATGATGTAAAGCCTGGCTCACATATATGGAGTTGTTGTAGCTAACCTCTGCTGAGGGCCTTATATTATTTTGCTTAATTGTAGGACAACTCTGAGGTAGGTACAACTATTGCATTTTATGGATGAAGAGACTGAGGCTTTCAAGGGTTAGACATTTGCCCAAGGCAGAGCTGGAATCCTGAGTTACAGACCTGAGGATGCTTTAGCTGCTGCTCTTTGGCTTAAGGGGAATTCCCTAAGGAAATTGTACTGCAGCGACTTTGCATTTTCACACTTTTTTCTGTGGGATGTGTACAGAATGAGTTGGCTAGGTTCTTGCTGCCAGTGAACCATGGGGCTGGAGTGGAGGGTTGGAGAGACAGTAGACCTCTTCATAAGGTCTGAGAAATAAGACGGAATTAGGTCCTTTCTGTCACTGAAAGGAAGTATAAACCCAAATGTTGTTTTGCTCAATTATCCCAGTTTTAAAAATCAGGAAGTATCTCACAAAAATCCAGGGTTTGGCTACTTTTAAGAGGTAGAAGATCTGTAAATCTGGACTACAGGTTGATAACAGCCTGTTGGAAGTGGGCAAAGGCTCATCTGCTCATCAAACTCTCACCGGTGGTTTCTGCTTCCTCCTCTCTGGCCTGACCCAGTAAGGTCTGGTCTGTGTCTTCTTCGGCTGTTAGTGTATTCTGTGGTAGGCAACTTCTAAGATTCCCGGGGCCTCAAATGATTCTTCCCAGTATTTATAGTCTTATGTGGATCCCTCCCTGTATGCAATGTGCACTAGATGTAGATACTTCTGATAAAAAGATCAATAGCTATAGTTATAGGATATAGTTATAAAAAGACTGCATGCTCTTCTTCCCTTCCTTGCTACCTCTGATCAAGCCAGCTCCTATGTTGAAAGCTGACCTGTGAAGAGGCCCTTGTGGTAGGCAACACTCACATGGTAAATGTCCCACCATGGGTGTGAGTTTGGAAGCAGAGCCTTCCCCTGCTTGGCTTTCAGATGACAGCATCCCTGATCCACACTTTGCAAGCCTGTGAGAGACATTGAAGGTCAGGGCCCAGCCAAGTCACACTTTCTCTCCTAACCTGGAAAAGCTGAGATAAAGCATTGTGTTTTGGGGTAACTCAGCCACAGACAGCTTGTGCACATGTCTGTGTACCCGAAGCAGTTGTCTGAGACTGCTGTTCATTTCACACCTATGCTAGAATGTGTTGGGTACCATTCTAGGTCCTTGGCATATATCATGAGCAAAACAGAATAAGACACTTGCCTTCTCAGAGCTTATATTCGAGTAGGGGATGCTTTTCTGAAGGGCAGACAACCCCTTGAGAATCTAGGGAAAGGTTTGCAGTCTCTTTCAGGTCTCAAACCCTGTTAAAAATCTGACAAAAGCTAAGAGTTGTTTTCTCAATACAAACCTATAGACGTGTGTAAGGGGTCTTATATGCTGAGCTGAGAGGAATCTTGTGATGAGCATTGTCTTAGGTCATAGGACACAGTGGAATTAAAAGCTAGTTGGTGGGACAAATACTAAAACCAGGTGGTTTTATAGTTGTGAAAAACATTAGGCTTTGGGTTAGGAGCCGACTAAGCCACACCCATGTATATTAGCCGCTTTCTACAGCTGTTGTAAAAGAAATGTCAAGCCCCCCACCCAAAGCCTATTTCTTACCCTCTAGCAGACTTCCAAGGTGCCTGAATTCCAGGAGAATAACAGGTACCCTAACTAAAATAAAAAAAAAATATTTAGTGGGTAGATACATGCATATATGTCAGAAGTTGGAAAAACTTGCAAGTGTCAGTTTTCCCCAGCTATGTGGGTTCTAGGGATTGAACACAGGCCTGGCAGCAAGCATCTACCCATTGAGCCATCTCTCTGTCTTCTGGTGCCCTTATTCTTCTTCAAGAATAGAACCAGGCTACTAGACTCCTAAGATATCAGAAGGCACACCCTGGACCAGGTAATGGGTACACTATAAGCAAATGTGCTCCTTATCCCCTTTCCCCCATGTCCTCTAAATCATTCACTAATAAGATTACTTCCTTTCTTCCTCATAAGGCAAGACCTTCTACTCCCAGTCCCTGGTTGTCAGAGGCAGGCCTGTGCTGTGGTTATGGTGCCTGGAACTTCCCTCTTCCTTTGAGACCTATAAGAAGGGACCTCTCACTTGGCTCCTTCTATGCTGTCTGTCTACAGTGTTGGGGGTCTGTGATCTTGTCATAACCCCTACACCACTTTCCATGGCATTAATATTTCTCCTAATATGTCTCTCACCCAGAAGGACAATCTGTCCCCAGTGTGCTCCAATAACTCTAAACCAGAGGCCTTTCAGTAAGTGTTACAAAAGATGTTCAGAGAGTGGTGGGGCTATGGAAAGGACTGTACTCATAGTCTGGGTATTCAGAGAAGGCTACATTCTCCAAAACGATAAACTAATGAGATTCAAAGGATGAGGATTTACCAGGCAGGGACTCTGGAGTGTGGGAGGCTAGAGGGAAGGCACATCCATGCACCTGCCCTGAGAGGCACACAGTCCTTCAGAGGACATTTACGGAAATCACCTAACTCCACTAACAAAAAGACACAGAAGACATTTCAAGGGCAGTGGCCAGATAAAGCTTTTGTTTCCAGTAGATCATGCTGGTTATTTGCGTGGTCAAGTGGGGTGGAATTGGGAAGGCCAGGTTGCAAGGGTCCATTCTGGGCTCAGTGAGCAGCAGGGCTCAGGAAGGCCAGTGTTTGGAAAGAAGGTGGGAGCTGCAGGTAATGACAGGGTACATGCAAAGAGGGAGGCAGGGAACAGAATCTGGGGTGTCTCCGCTTTTGTCACATAAGCCCTGGAAGAGATGCTGCTGCTGTTGACCCAGGGAGCAAAAGAGGAAAGAGAATGGTCACTTTAAACTGCTGAGCAACCCTCACAGCCTCAGAAGGCCCAGCAGGCCTGGAAGGGCAGCTTTCAGCAACAGTCTATGCTACAACTCCTTTCCCCTATGTGCGTCCCTGCAGCTTTTGGAATTGAGTTCTTCATATGAGGCTTCCTTCTCTTGGGGACTGATAAATCCTGCTGAGTCTTTCCCTTAAAGCTATCTGCAGACATCAACTTAACACATTATCCTTAAAGACCATTTCCTGAGCTCCTGACTAGATCCAACTCCCTTCCCCAAGTA